AACTTCGTCATGTCGTGTTATTCACCGTTAAAGATGTTTCGTCACATGTAACTTTCGCTTTTTATATGAGGTTTTCTTTGAGGGATTCAAGCACGACAATCTCTGTTACCATTATTTTTAGGGAATAACGGAGATCTCCCAACTGTACGTTCCAATCCATGGAATTTGGCAACCATGACTAAATTTTGAGCAATGCCCGAAAAATATGCCTCTTGCTACAAGGAGCGGCCATAACAAAAGCTTCTGGTCGACGTTCCAATTTCTTAATTTCCATCCTTTTTCATTTTCTTCTGTTTAGGCCTTACACGATGGGCAGAAATTGGCATGGAATGTTAAATTAATGTTCAAAATATGATTACTGAAATACCACGTTTCTCGAAAAGACACTCGCTTGTTTTGTTTTCATGGAGGAAAAAGATGGGAACGGGCACTAGTGCAAGTACCCACTAGGGCAATTACCGTAAGTCTCCCTCGTCAAGAACGTTCGATTTGAGACGTAAATATCATCTACAAGGATTGCGAAGGTTATGGGTCGACAAACCCGCAATCGTAATTCGATCGACCGTAAAATAATTACCCAGTAAAGTACTTATTAGAGTTGGGTAATTTTCGATGGAGAAAGTATTGAGGATGTGGCGGGTAGGGGTGAGCAAGATGGACCGTCCAAACCTGGATCGGACCGGACCGACCGATTTGGTCCGGTTCTCGGGAATATCGGTCCGGTTTCCGGTTCCTAAAAGTGGAACCGATTTTCGGGCGGTCAGGTTCCCGGTTCTAGGGTGAGAACCGGACCGGACCGGATCGATAAATATATATTTTTCTAATTTTTTCATATATATAATTTATTTACTTTTTAAAATTTTTGAAAAAAATAGAAAACCTAATCTAATTTCCTTAATTCCATCTTACCTTTATCAATAAGTGATTGGTCTCATTGCAATCAGACCGAACCGGATGATCCGGTTTGGTTCGGTCCACGATCCCAAAATTAGCTGGTTCGGTCCCCTATTTTAGAAACTGGGAACCAATCTTCCCGGTCCGATTTTTTATTCTTGAATTGGATCGGATCGGATCGGGAACCGCTCGTCCCTAACGGCGAGTGAGGTACTTTTTCAAACCCTTCACGAGAGGAAAGAAATTATTAAAATCACGTCGGTCGGGTGGGTCGCATGATTCGGGCGAATTCAACAAGCGTACGGAAGAGCCACGACATTGTCGTTGACCGCTAGCCGTCGGTACTCTCGGGTCGCGATCGATCGGGGACCGAGCCCCCGCCCCGGGCGACTGGAGATCGCAAGGTGATTGGCGCTGGTGCAGCAGAGCAATGGTGGGGCGCGACCGCACCCACGCTCAGCCCCGTCGGGCCCACAAGGCCGCCTCTGCGACGTCCCACTTAGGGGCGACGCCGTGTACCGCGGGACACGGCTTGGCTGGCTTTCGCGAGTCGGTGGGCGATTCCAATTATCTCAATTTTTCCCTCCATTAATTATTATTATTATTATTACTTCTTTTTCCCTTTTTTCTATTTCTTTTCTTCGGTGATATACATAACTATAAATGGACAGAGGGAAAATATAAATAAATGGAGCTGAAAAACTGCGAACGGGGGTGGGAGAAATGGGCAGGCGACGCGCTCTTCGCCAAAAGCGATGTGGAAACAAGGAGGAAGAATAGTAAATAGTCATATATGGTATGGCCTTCGCTTTCGGCCACTTGATTGGCAACATCTCATTGTGAAGATCTTGCGTGGATGGATGAATGGTAGGCATGTGAATCAATGTGACCTCCCGATGTGAGTCGAACACGTTGGATACGTTCAAAAGGGAAAAAAAGGGTTAAGGCCAAGAAATTTCAACTGCCCATGTCCAAGTTCGTGGACTTGCTCGCCAAAAGTTTGACAACCTTGTTTAGGCCTCGCGGTTTAGCCAAATGTCTTTTTAATTGTCGCGATTAAATCTTTAATCTGTACTCTTTTTTTTTCTTTTGCAAAAGGAATAAGTACAATCAAGCAATTCAGGTCTGACGTTTGCGTGAGGAATTTGTATTGCCTACGCGAGGGTCTTAGAATACGCTTGTCAATCAACTTCGATTAAGACACGGCTGTACCTTTCACTGAGATTTTAGCACTCGATACTCGACAGTATACTTGATCGTGACATTGTCGGTCCCGCCAAATAGGCCAAATGAGAAAGTCGGGGCCAGCATGCATTTAGCGGCAAAGCTCGGCCTACTTCGATTGCGCTCTGCCTAGGCTCGTTGGTTGAAGAGAATGACATAGCGTGTAGCTTGTTCAGGGGCCGGCATGGGCAAAGAATTAGACCTTACCTGAGGGCCATGAGAATCTCTAGGTACTTTTCATTTCTCCGATTCGGCGAACATTTGTTATCAAGGCAACCGCCCCTTCAACGCTTTACTTTTGACATTAACTTGTATCGGCATTTCTCGAGTCTAATGGTTTTGAGAGATCTCTCACTCAGGCAGCAACGGGTCCAGAATTTGAAAATCAATGAAGAGGTTATTGAACTCGTTTGTTCTCACGAAAATAAGTAGTTATTGGATATTAAAAGAGGTGATTGTTGCATATGAAAAGAAGTGATTGTTTTTCTTTTTGTCGAAGAAATGATTGTTGATATGAAGATAAGTGATGGTTGATCATGAAAAGTGGTGATGCTGAGCTAATGTACCTATTATCAAAAGATGAGTCGATTGGTTGTTTGTAACTGAATCATACATGTTTCATCGTAATTGTTTGTAACAACAACTTTTTCTTCGTTATTCTCTCCTTCTCTCTTTTTGCACACAAGTTTGACAACATATTCAAGGTGAAATTCCAAGGGTGAAATCGAGTAATTGCCAAACTCGTTTCTCCGTGACTTTGGTTTATATCCTTGAGATATATTTGGTCTAAACCCGACAACGACAATAGTTGGGAGCAAAAAATATCTTAAGGGCATGACAAGTGATTATCATCACGCATCAAAATATCAAAGAAACTACAAATAACTGCTCTATTTTCATCGGCAATCAAATTTCCCCAATAGAGTGGTAACTTTCGTGATCATTCACCTCTCTGCACTAGCTAACTGCTGATCAATCCCCCACCACCGACTTTATGGTGCGAAATGATTAGCATAACTTGGGTTAAAAAGTGAAAACCTTTATGGACAAGTCTTAATCCGTGGGACGAATGATATGCACGAGCCAAATCCCACAAAACTACAAGACATAAGCATATTGTCACATAATTAACTGGCGTTACCGCTACCCTCCATCGCCTTGGCCTGCCCATCGCACCTTTTTTTGTACACTTTTGTGGTCGCTAATCACGTGTTACTGGTAGGAATCATGTCTCCATTAGCATCTTAATCACTCTTTAATCCACCAAAGTACGTCCATAATGAAAAAAATTACTAATTTTTGTTTTTTAACTCGGAGCAAAAACGGTTTTTGGGGTTTTCAGCGCCACACAACATCCCGATACATCATTGTGTCCTTAACAAGGAGGCACGAACGGAGTGAAAATAATACAAATTTTTACCAATCCGGGGTTCCGATTTTACGGCGCGTGGGAGGCAGGGGGCGGTAATCGGCGAGTGATATTCGTATATCTCGGTGTTACAACCCACTGGAGCAGAAACAAACCAGAGGAAGTACAACGCCGAATTGTTATATTGGCGGCAAGTTCTAGGTTGCTCCCCATGTTACTCCCGAGCTGTAACAAAGTAAAAAAAAAAATCCAAAAATGAAAAAAAAGGGTTTAATTTTCAATCAACAGAGTATTTAATCGCGAAAAAGGAAATTGGAAAAAAAAAAAAATCACGTCCGCTCGACGGTTGCTTTTAACCGGTGAAATTTTAACCCCACGCTCGCCAGCTCAAGCTGGAGTGTTTAAACTCAATGGAATTTTACCGGTTTGACCTCGCGCCGAGACCGTATTTGGCCATGATCAAAGGGTCTGAAATGGGGAAGAAGAAAAAGAGTAATTAAGGGGAGTGAAACTGCTCACTGAGTCCCTGTGGCGGTCAAAGCAGTGACGTGGCACTAACCAAAAACGATTTGACCGACTCATGTTTTTTTTTTTTTTTGGGAGGAGTGGGAGTGGACAGGGCCGGGTATCTTGGGCCTCACGTGACTGCCATCACGGTGTCCGAGACAGCAGTCCCCCGGGGATTGCTGACTCACCGCCCATTTGAATCGCTCCCATTGGCGACCCGTTCGCCCCCCCGCGGGCCCCACGCGGGGGTGGGGCTGCCACGCGTCGCGATCGGGAGGGATCGCCGGGATGCGGCGGGGGAGGACTCGGGATCGATCAGGGTCGTTGCCGAGACCCGGGCGGTTGGGCCGGACCGGACCCCCCGGACGTGACTCGCCCCTAATTTTCTCACCAAACTTGCGCGAAAAAATCCGAGGAAGGTCGCACCCGTATTAATTTATCATGGCGAAAAAAGAAACTCGTTAATAAAATAAATTAAATGATGGGGCGGGGAGAGGGGGGGGTGTCGCCTTGTTTCGGCTGTTGGGATTGCTATATAACAGCGATTTCAGTGCATTTTCCAGTCTCCCACCGTTTAAAGCCATCACGAATTACAAACTCTTGTCCCTCTGAGTCATCATCGTCGTCTTCATCGTCATCATCTTCTTCTTCTTCTTCCTCCTCCTGGTACTTACTGTTGTGTCGCGCGCGTGTCGCTCCCGGAAGCTCTTTCCGTCTCGCGGAGAGTTTTGCCGACCGAGAAGAAGAACAAAGGTGTGGTTTTGAGGGGTTCTTTCCCTTTTTTTTCCCCCCGTCAAGTGGTGCGTCAAAGTCATCTGCGCAAGACGCTCTTGCCTCGTTTTGCCCTATTATTGTTATAATATATGCAATAGGAATAGTATCTGCCGCTATCTCGGAAAATCTCGAGACCTCCTCCTTTGCGAACTTTCCACGCACAGGAACGCTTCTCTCGCCCCGTAATAAAAGGGTCTCTTTCTCGCCCCCTCCTTTCCCTCGTTTCGTTTTCTCCATCTGTTCAGAAACCTCAGCGAGAGGGAGAGAGATCCTTTGCCAGGTTTAGCTGTGTCTCTCTCTCGTTATATTCCTCGAGGTTCTTGAGAGCTTCCGTTTCACTGCTCTCTCTCTACGTTTTTTCGACCACCCATCATCTCTTTGGGCTCTCTTTATTCCGAAACTTGCCGATATTCGTTCTTCTTGATCTCTCCTTTTTTGGGTTTTGCTTAGTTTGATGCGAGCACAGAGAGAGAATCAATAACCGAAAATGGACCAGAGCATCCTATGCCCCATCAAGTACACCGAGCACCGAAGCCTCACCAGGAAACTCCTCTCCAAGCACCCCAAGAACGACGTCCCCAATCCACCCCGGACCGTACGGATATCGGTGACCGACCCGTACGCCACGGACTCGTCCAGCGACGACGAGGACGAGGGGGACGCCGAGTCGTTCCTCCGCTGCCAGCGCGTGAAGCGCTACGTCAGCGAGATCAAATTCGAAGCTGCCTCCAGGAACGGCGTGGGCTCGAGCGGTGGCGGCCGCAGGAAGAGCTGCTCCGGCGGCGAACCGGCCCCGGCTGATCTGAGGACGCGGCCCTCGCTGAAGGTCTCGTCGGCGGCAGCGGGCGGGAAGAAGTTCCGCGGCGTGCGGCAGCGGCCGTGGGGGAAGTGGGCTGCGGAGATTCGTGACCCCACGCGCCGCGTGCGGCTGTGGCTGGGCACCTACGACACGGCGGAGGAGGCCGCCATGGTCTACGACAACGCCGCGCTCAAGCTCCGTGGCCCCGGCGCCTTGACCAACTTCTCCACACCGTCGCTGAGCAAGGACCCCTCGCCGGAGAACGAGATCCTGGCGGCCTCCTCCGTCTCCAGCTACGACTCCGGAGAGGAGTCTCACAACCTCTCGTCCCCGACTTCCGTCCTCCACTTCCGGACTCGCTCCAACAACAGCGCTGAGGCTGAGTTCAGTCAGGACCCGGCCGGACCGCCGGCTCAGGATCCGGCCGATGAAGCCCTCGACTATCTGGAGTGTGAGGGCGAGACGAGCTTGGCCGATTCGAGCGAGTACTTGCGGCTGGACTTGCCGTTCCTCGACGACTTCTACAACAACTTCGACTCTCCGATGGAGTCGTCGCTGTTCGAGGACACGCACACCGCGGCTCTCCCGGAGAACAGCATGCTGAGCCTGAGCGAGGACCTGAGCGACGTGTTCCTCGACACGACGTCGTCGGACGACTTCGGGTCGCTGCCGATGGACATATGCCAGGTCGACGACTACTTCGGAGAGATCGGCGACTGGTTCTCGTCGGACCCTCTCGCCGTACTTTGAGTGTGCGAGAGTGTGAAAGAGAGAGAGAGAGAGATTGAACAGTGTTTGTTCTGGAGTGAGCATAGCCGCCGTTGACTTGCCGGATTCTGGCAGATTTTGCACCGGCGGCGAGGAAATCCCCGGCGAGTTCGTTTTAGTATTTAGCAGCAGTAAATCAGTGTTTAATTATTTATTTGTTTTTGAAAACCTCCGTCAAAGTTAACGGAGGAGAGAGAGAGAGAGACATCTGAGCTGGTTTTTTTTTTTTTCTTGGTATTTGCCGAGATTTTGATTGTGTACTATTTTCCCCGAGAATAATAATAAAAAAATCATAAGTGTATGTTGGCCTTGTTAAGTGTGCCCAACTTTCGACCCAAAAAAAAAAAAAGAAAAGTGTGTCCAACCGTTGACGCCGACGGAGCAATGGGCAGACAGAAGCGACGCAAATTACTTTCGTTGGTGTCCTCCTTTCCCACGTGGCGCGTTCCGTTTTATTTTAATCCATTTATTTTATTCGGCGTAATTATCTACGTGGCGAATGAGGAAGTCCCATTTCGTGTCCACGTTCAATCGCACACGGTGGCATTCCTCCCCCGACCTTTTTTTCTTCAGAGGCGCGATTAGCGGTCGTAGCCGAGCTTTTTGATCGGGTCCCAGTCGGTGCGACTCCGTATGAAACGGCGTCCCGTTTTCTCGAAAGGCCCCTCTCATTTTCTCCTCTTCCTTCGTAGAGTCCACACTTGCTGTTTCCCCTCTCAATCGGTCGCTCGAGTTAGGAATGATCGGTTCCCAGTCCAATTTCAGTTCCGGTCTAATGAAACCGGATCACTTATTGTACATAATTTACAATAATTATTGTAATTTGTGTTCAATTTTGTAATTTTGTAGTACTTCTTTCTAGTAGAGAATAGCTTCCAGACGAGTTAAATTTGTTTGTGCTACTATTAAAGATGATATAACTTTTAGAAAGTATCAAGGGAGGAGGATTGAAATTCACTTAGGATTTCACTTTACTTTACTTAATTGAAGAAATTAAAAAATATATATATATTATATATAGTCAGTTCGGTCAGCCCGGATACCAGTTCCACTTTTAGGAATTGAAAACCGGATCGACACTTTCGAGGACCGGACCAAACCGGCCAGTTCGATCTGGTCCCGAGGGTTCTCGATTCCGTCGATCCGTCTTGCTCACCCCTAGTTCGAGTTAAGCCGAGCCCGTAAAATGCTAGGTTGTGCTCGTGTCCATTACTCAATCAAGCATTGCCCGTTCTCGAGCTCGGCGTCAAAGCCGATCGAAAAAACCCGAGCTCGATTCCACCCGCCATAGGCGGGTCAAGTGGGACGCTCTACTATATTTCAGCAGGCAAAAGAAAGTAATCATCTCTTTGGTGGAGTGGAGGGGTGGATGACAGCAAATCTTTTAGTTTTGGCCCACACCCTTTCGCCGTCCGTGGGTGGCGCTGTTACGGAAGACTCTGGTGCCGCCAACTTGAAAAAAAAGTCGACGGAATCAGAAATGTGGTTGTGCCCACAAGCCACAGGACGGAATTCATTGTCGTGCAACATTATTGACTTTGGTCGCCCTCTCTCCAAGGCCTCCCTCTGGCCACTCGATTCGATTTCAAACTTTTGCCCTCCAATCTCAAGACCCGTCCACATTAGTACTCCCTCAGGGGGGCGATCGGAACCCGAACACGACTGCCTAGTTCTCGACCGGGCTTGAGCGGGATCGAACGCTAGGCAAATCCCTAACCAGTTGGCCGAGCTTCCGGTACAAATAATGGGACTATTGATATTGTTGTTTTCGATTATCTTTTTTTCTTTTTGCCCAAAGAATTTTCAAAAAGAGAACATCTATTCTTGCCGGATTGGATGGGAACATCACATTGTCGTCTCCGCCCACTTGGTGTTGGGCAAGTCAAATGAAACATCTCTGCCTAGGATTCATTCTCCACACTCATATCTGCCCCCCCCAATTCTCATTTCTCAGTGTCTTTCACAAGTTCTTCCTCCTTTGACCATACCCATCCTTCCCCATCTCCTCTCGCCCTAGCATCTCTTGAATTTCTCTCAGATCTTCCGCTCACAAGATCTAAAAGCAATACCTTTTTGTCAGTAGAGTTTTAACTACATATCACAAAGTCCAGAATCCAGACGGTTGCATAGCTGAAATTAGGAGATGTCAAGGTAGTGATGATGATGATGATTGAGGCGATTTGAAGTCTCCCATCATCAAGAACTTACTAATAACGCCCCTAAAAATCCTTACTTTCAACTTGTTCTTGCAGATGCAATTAAAGGGCATTGTGATGATTGGTCTCCGAACGAAATTCAACCTACCAAATATTTCCAGGGTCCATCTCTTGCCAGCAAAATGCGACATGCCGATGAATCGAAACCGGTACCACTTTTCTGTCCTTGGAGATGACCACTGGACAGAGGGGGCTTTTATCTTGCATGGAGTTGTTAAAGAGTCTCACTTTCGTTGGCCATTCAAGTATATGATTAAACCGATGCCCTTTATGTCTAAAGCAAGCATCCGGGAGAGGGTCAAGAATGTTTTTTTTTTTTAAAAAGGGCCCCCCGCTTTTTTTTCCCCTGCGGTCGGATTGATTATAGAATTTGTGCAGATAAAATTATAATTAGAGCTCGTGGGAGAGACTGTGGGTAGACCGGCCACTGCTTCTTGCTTGACTATTACTCCAACCAGAAGTTTGAATTGTGCCAACTGAAAGCGACCCCATGATGGTGTCTGAAGTCAGACAGGAAGTTTCTTTTCCGGCTTTTGTTTTTATTATCTTAGGGGCTTGAATTGAGGGGGGGAAAGAGGAGATGATGGAGGCGACGGGGATGTGGGAAAAGGGGGATGATTTTGTGCGCACACGCGCGCACCCCTCCCGGCCACGTAATTGGAGTTTAGCAGGTGATTAGGGAGGCTAATTTGCTGTTTGGGTCGTGGGCATTTGGTGCGGCAAATTGCAGATGGGTCAGCTTTGTGGGAGGTTTAGTCAATTTTGGCGCATTTGGAAGAATGACACTTGGAAATGGTCGCCGATGAGCGTGCAGTTGTGATTGAGACACGAATTAAGTGGGGATTAGAGGAATGACAGTTGCTTCCGAGCCGCAATCACTTTAATTTTCGACGACTAATCATAGAAGAATTAAAAGCCCTCCCGTTTCACCTGTATAAAGAACGACCTAATTCCCTAAATATCCCTCAGCTTCTGGTTCTGTTCTGCCCGGGACTTTTGCTTTTGTTTATAAAAAAATCACGAGCTTTCACTGTAGTTCCAAATCTGCCCCTCGTCAAAAATTCGATCCTCGTTTCTTCAAAATCATCAACATTAGGAGGCTGCATTGTTCTATGCGAAGGTGAGGATGCCGGTGAAGACGGAGGTTCTGATAACGAATCTCCAACGGGCTGTGATGTAGATAATTTTGAAGAGACCCGTGTCGAGTTTTGGGACGTGGAGGCGGATTCGAGACAACAGTGAAAGTTTGTGATTTTTTTTGTTTGGACAAGAAAAAGTTGGGATTGAACCTAAAGTGGAAGGGTTTTTAGGGAATTAAGCCCGGAAAACGACAAAGATGAGAAACTAAAACAGCCCAAGATTCATCGAATTTGGATGGTCCCGTGATTCAAAGGGCTGGCGTCGTTGTTGCTCTTGATACTAAGATCTAAGGACAAGGCCGGCCGGAGAGAAGATATCGAACGGTTGAAGTGCGTTGATATATTTTTAAGGTTTATTGGGGACAAAGAGTGTTGACTAGTAAATGCAGCAAGGTTGACCACGTGACTGCGCGCCGAACGCGACACTGTGCGTATTGGTGTCTTTGCTGGACGCAAATACGGCATGGCGAATACGCTAAAGCATGCGGCCCCATGCTTGCTTTCCAGCTTTGCTCATCCTGTGTATTTGTTTATTCGTGCCACGTTTTCTTGCCGAACTGTGTATGTATGTATCTCTTGTAGGGTCAACGTGTATTCTCGTCCCTCCCTGTGGTTTGATGAGCTACCTAAATTCGAAAGCAAGCAATACGCCATAATATGTATGTATGTATGTATGTATGTATATATGTATGACGAATGTGTGACGTGCGTAATCCTTGTGTTATTGATTAGATGATTTACAGCCTAGAAAGGCACATGAACTAAACTTACGAGTGTCTCGAAATTGAACACCGACAGCACAACCTCAGAATAAGTGCACAAGAACGCGGGTTTGCAAAATACAATACACGGGAACAAAAACTCACACAAAGTAAGTAAAACCTTGAGAAGAAGTGTGCATGTTCTTCTTCTTTCCTCACAATTAGTTCTTCCTATAGTTATGAGCTTTTAGGATCTTACTTCCATGCTCCAAGACTTATTCCCCACATGCTCAACAAGTTCTACATTTTTGGACTTGTCTCCCACGGTCCGGTATCGGTTTTTTGGTAACAAATTTGGTAGTCATGCTAACTACTTCGCCACGTGCATTGGACCTATACCGATCACAATTTACTCGGCATCGATATCTTGCTTAATATGATCGCTGTTTCGCAGAGTCAAACGCCTCTTTCGAACTGGTCAACACATACCTTTCGGCCATATTTTATTTGGGTGTCCCTAGTAGCCGAGCAGCATGGTCAACGGGAACAACAGCACCAACAATAACAAATAGGGTAATGCTAACATTATCAACATTAGTGTTACTGTGGCCGCGATAATCACGAACGAATAAAAAAAAAGGAAAAGCGACGGCCGTGATCGATCGGGGGGCCAAGCAGCAGCACGTCATCGATCGGTTGCATCACCGGTTGACCCGCCACTTACGAAACGAGTAGGAACAAAGGAAGCCGCCTCCATCGGTGTTTGCTTGCGAAACATGAACATCATGCTTTCAATTCTTTTCAATCACCCCCCTTCCTCCAATCCACTGATGCTAAACCGTCTCGATCCGTGGAAAAATCTCCCACCACGACCGATGACAAGTAACCATCTATCCAATAATGGATGCCACAAAGAGCCATCATCCATATTCATTCGTTTATTTATTTATATTTTTTGTTTAGTGCTTTTGGATTTGATTCGTGAATTATCTCTCAATTTGTGTGATAAGATAACGGTTGTGAAATTTGGAGCTGCGTAGTGTCCACTCACGGTTTTTTCCTCGAGGAAATTGTCCCATCAGCGGTAAATTTATTGCACTAGAGCCAATTCAGTCATGAACTTTTCAATGTAGTCATTCCGATCAATTTTCATCGGAAACCCGCCGACGTGGCGGTCCAGTCATCACCGGCTATCCTATGTAGCACGTCGCCATGTCAGTGGTTTTCGGCGAAAATTGGCCGGAAGGATTGCACTGGAAATTCGCGTAAA